TGAACATATTAAAAACCCATTCAATCCATGCCTTTGCGCGTAAACTTGAAACTTGCAAAGGATCATTTACAAACTACTAACGTTGAAGAATTTCTAATCGATATATGTTTTTCCTGGAACATAATCAGTTTACAGTTAAATCATTTGATTTTTACTCGAAATGTGAAGAAATATACAAAGAGGTTGCTGAATTCTACACATGTATAATAATTTGGCCAAGTGTGTACGTTCCATTCGTCGCAACATGCAACTGAAGTAGCAAATATTAAACACGATCTAAATGTCTTGGCTGTAAGTAGTTTACGCAGTTCTCTTCATCGAAATACAGCATAATGATTAATGGATACCATAATGAAATCCGGAATATTTCAGCTTCATAATGATACCATTTCTATTTGTTTTTCTGTCAGAGATTTTGGAATGCAATATGTCAGCTCCCTAAATTTCAGCAAACATGCGAACTACATTGGGACTAAAGCAGTACAAGTAATGGGGTATAAGTGTAAGTTACTAACGCAGAAAGAGACTAGACTCATGGCAAATAAACTCAATATGAGGTCCCTTTCAGAATAATGTCAGGTCACGTTTAGCACTCTACACACCTGTGAGAGAATACCACAAATCATGTTCAACATGCCTTCACCGAACGCATCTACGTGTACACTACACTTGTTTCTTATAAGGAGAGACGTACTGAACTAACATTCGAGTCATTATGGTTACGCAGATTCTATTGGAATGTTTGTTTTCTACATAAAGTTGTGTAGCAGAAAGTACCTGTGAACACAGCTCTTTGCGATTTCGACTAGAAACCAGATATGAAATGGGTGGCACGGGGTGTATGATCACAGTGCGCAAATTCAGGACAACATTTGCAAAGAACTAGCAGCTTATAAGGTGCGGTATAATATGGAGTAGGCTGCCTACTTGCAGATGGTGTACACAGAAGTTAAACGAATGTAAAATAGTTTCGAATTTCCTGAAACCAGTGAATGTGAAACAGATCCTAAATTTGCAGATAAATGATGGCAGTTCGTTTGAGGGAGAATCTGGTCACGCATGAAACATAAACAACACGGGAGCTATATGTCAAAGGTTGAGGGTATTCCACAATTAAGAAAGTGAGTGTTACGAGGTTGTAATGAAACCAGATATAGTAGACGAGAAATCGAGATTATCAACGAAACCGCTCCGTCCGAGTGCTGCTGAAAGTTGTGGCTAACAAGTTTGTCTACACGAAAACTATCTGTGGCGTATGATGCCCATGCGCTCGCGTTTCAAATTGAATTCCTTCCCCATTTCAACTGCTCGGTTCCAGCCCTATCCTCACAGATGTTGACGCATTCTTTTTCGGTACCGCCTGCCGCGCTGACAGCGTCATTTAACTGTGGCATACAAAGCCCATGTGCATGTTCCTTGACAAAACTTTTCCTTCTAGATGGCGCTGCATCGTCTTCTGAGGACCGTCTTTCTCACGTATTACGTCATTTGTTTACGGTCTTTAGTTTGACGCTGCCTTGTTTGTGACACATAAACGCATATGCACTCATAGTAGGTGAGGATAAATATTATCTTTATCTCATTATTCCTCTAAAGTTTCCTCCTCCAACACTAGTTCAAATCTCGTGATTACCCCGTTTTCACACCGGCTGACACTGCATGTGTTTGCTTCCCTCTTAATACACTTGCAGCGACACTTTTCCGATAACGCTTTTATTTAGGCTTGTTAAGGTAGAGCGAAGCTGTACGAAAGTTTAACTGATATCACCTTTTGAAGTCCATTATACTAGCCGCTGGCTTATGGTTAGTAGGTGCATCTCGTAACGCATTCTTCTATTTTTTATGTATCTCTGCGTTGGATTCTTTGTATGCTCAAATTATTAATCCAGCTTGGCAATTACCTGTAGTTTTTATTTTCATGACCACACAACACCTACCTTCCCTTATTTTACACTTATCTGCTGAATCCTTATTTCTTCTTCATGTCTCCGCTGACAGCCGATGCACTGAGATTTTCTAAATGTGCAAACAGAAATGGGTTTTTCTTTTCGGCTCATTCTAAAAGCTTCAGTTGATCATAATTAGTCATGAATCACTTATAACTGCAGTGACGTTATTAATTGCATTTAGATTATATATAGTGTTCCTTAATCCTTACACGAATTTGGTCCGAGTGGAAAACGTTTTCTCTCGAAATCTCAAAACCATCTTCGTTATTCTCCGTGGTTTTCGATCGAAGTTTGATTGGTCGGTTTGCAAATGCTTGTAACTCCTTATATATGCCTTGCCAGACATGTTTCGTTTAAAGTAAGACTGAAGTACTATTCTTAGCATTCAAGGTCGGGCTTGGGGTACGCACTGCGAGATTGGATTGCGACACCATCTCTATTAATACTTTGGTTTACTTTGGAACAGACCTCGGTCATTCGGATCACTATACGGTATTCGAACTACCGGCGTTTTCGTGTTGCATTGTCACAAAAAAGGCACCCCACTATTATTAACTTAAACGATCCCAGCACACTAAAACGGGCGCACACTACGTAAGACCATTACTTAGGAACCCTCAAAAGGAACTCGTACCAAAAATTTGACATCACCCGTGACTTAGTTTAAGATATTCTAGTTCGTTAAACTTTAGCGAACATACAAATCATATCGTGAAAAAGGCTAAGCAGTCGGTCGGGCTCATATGCCACCTGCTAACCTCGAAAGAAACCAGCCTAATTGCTTTCAAAATCAGTATCTGGCCTTTGCTTGAATATTGCTGTTTTACGTTCTGTAACTTGCGAAAGGGTGACTTGAGAGCCATTGAAAACGTTCAACGCGCCTTTACGAAGCGCATAGTTGGCTATTCAACCGCTCTTTTTTTTACAGAGATAGGTGTAAGCAGTTGAATCTTGAACCTCTGTGGTTACGAAGAATGCAATTAAATCTGTGCTTCCTCCACAAACTCGCATGGCGGAAAGCATATGTTGGAACCTATCAATTGCACTTTCGGGATAACACCATTTTGAACTGCGAGATAGTGAATGTCTATTCCACTTACCTAAACTCAAGACCAACCTAAGGAGAACTTTCTACATTCTTAGGTATGGCTCCATGTAGAATAAGTTGCTAAAAAAGATTAAATGTATTGAACATTTTTGCATGTTCAAGAAAATGATAAAGGCTTATCTGTCAACGGACAGAGTAAAATGGATCTTAAACATTCAACTTGATGATGAAAAGCTGTATGAAGAAGGGCAGGATCATGTATGATACCGGAGAACATCGCCTCGAATGCATCAGAAAAAACATCGTCATCTAGGATGAGCGGCTACAAACAACCACTTCTCATGCTATTCTTTAATGCTAGCTCCTATGCGGTGTTACTCCTTTCAAACTTAATTCATACCAACTGTCTTTTGTTTAAAACCGAGAGCAAAATTATTTACTGGTGTGGTGTCAGGAACTATTTTCGTACTTTTCCCCGCAAATGGATTAATTCGTAATCTTGTTCTGCGATCCCTTTCGCTATATTTGTTCTCCAGTGCTAATTATTTCCCCTTCTTTTCTGAAGTTAACAGTCCAGAAACACATACTTGAATTCAGTGATGGCAATAACTGATTCCTTATGCGACTTTTGCCTATGGACAACTCGTACAGTTATCTGTCTCCGGCTGTCACGCCACACAGTTTGATTATATGATCGGCTCGATCAATTTTCACCCCGATGTAAAAAACATACCTGCCTATTTTTACATTAACGATATAGCACCATTTTCACATAAGTTTTCTTTTCCACATTCTTCCTTATTTCATAGTTGGCCACGACTGGGCTGATCTCCTGTGGTGACGGTTATAGCTTCCAGATTATAAAAGACTTTACCTATGCAAGGTACATTGCCACAAATTTACCAGCATATAAAAAGTGCCACAACTGAATGATCCGCATGACGGACTGGGCTGAGAGTTCATCGCTCATAATACATGTATAAAAGCAGCCCTAAAAAGAACAGAACATATGATAAACAGGTGATGGCTCATATGCTACTGTGCCACACCGGCACGCAGTCAGGTATTGCATGGAAGTGCAGGCGAAACCTTTCGAGGGAATACCTTGCATGGAAGCAGGTCCCCTGGGGACGGTTCCATGTGTTGCCGTATTACTTTAAGTAGACATTTGTTTAAATCTGCATATGTTATTGTTCCTGGTTTTTAATTTATTTAATACGTTAATCCTGCCAATTACTTTAATACCCGTTTTGGATCCATTGTAAAAAGCGTGAACAAATTCATAATTTTTTCCGATCCTGTTGTACACATTGATCAGACCACATAGTTGGACTGCACCTCGAATCACCGAGAAATATACCATTTATATTTATTTATTTATTTATTTGTAACTGTAGCAGTTGCAAGGATAGCGAAATTGCCCTACACCAACAGAATATCTGAGGTATTAATAAGATGTTGACTACTGCTTTAGATTAAAGTTACTCACCAACTATCCAAAACGAACGGAAAAACTCAACGTGCAATGTAAACCTTAACGAAAGTGTGGTCAATACTGCATGGGAAATGCAAGAAAGAAGCTTAATGAAATGTTACGAAAACACCATCCAACCATTCAATTTCACTACTGCAGTCATTAATATCTGTACCTATGGATGTCGTCAACATGCAAGGCGTTCAGATACTTGGAAGTGCAACATCTGTTAAAGATGGGAAATCACTGATGTCTGGCATCCAGAGTAAGGCTATATGAATAGTATGCCCTTGGATTTAAACGTGGCCTACTAGGTGCTGCGAATCAAGTCTCAGAGGATACATGTTACCTAGCCTGGTAAATACACACTTGCAAGCAAAGATCTAAGTTCGGCGAACAACCGAAAATTCAAAAGATTTCTATAAATGCTACAGTGTGCTAATTTGGAGAAACGTATAAAAATCGTAGCACATATCACCAGAGCAAGGGAACTCGACCAATATAATGACTGCATCAATAAATCCGTCACCTCATACGGTTCCGATATTTCTTTCCATTTGGCGTAGTCTGTTGCCGTGTGTCCAGCTGTCCAGATTTCGTGACGAAAAGGCTGAACATATCCTTGGCCCCAAAGGGACAGCAGATCCCCTTTTGTGTTCGGCAGTGGGTCCCTACCTTCCTTGATCTCGAAAGCTGGTACGATGAAGCACCTTCGCTCACCGCGGGAGGATTCAGACCGGTCTCCATATGTGGTTAGCTACAGTTGATAGACAATGCGTAACTAAGTTCAGCTTGAATACTGTCAACTGACTACTTGCGGCTGTGCTTTAATTTAAATAATACACAAAAGTTGATTAAAATAATCGGGTCTTTCAGACAATGAATGCTCAGTGCTTTCCACCATAAAACACGCGAACTCACGGGATCAAACCGCTTTAATGCCGTAACCTCCAAAGATTCAGAAAGGTTCATGCTCGGGACGAAATCCACATCGACCAAAAACACGTAGTCTGTTTCTGCGTATTCCATTGCAATATTTCGAAGCTGATTTATTGGGTAGAAGAGCTAATGAACAATAAAGAAGGTTATGTAAGAACCCGCTTTTGTAAACGAAAACAGCCAAACACAGTGATGAATAAGAGTTAAAGATTTAGCTTCCAGCGGCAAACAACTGGTGGTGTCATTAATGAAAAGTTATCATTCGTGGTTGATTTTATGAACGACTAAATTAAACGTGATTCTAGTAATATTCTTGATCGTGTGCACCTACTATATATTCCCACTAAACTGTGTACTTGAACTGAGCACATAATTTGTTGTCGGTATTTGAAGTATGGCCTCATTTCTGGTCCGATGCAAACGGAATGCGCATATGACAAAACTCCAATGAAAAATGAACAATGATTGATGCCGCGTAAAAAAGCAATTGCTTGACAAGTCCCGCAGGATGGTGGGGGTAAAACTTCAAGTATCAAAAAATAGGTGAGTTGTCTGTTTGAGCGTTTATCTAACAGATACGCTGCTGAATAATAGTAGTGTAAGTGGGAATTGTTTGCGCACGATGAGGCAATATCGGGACAGTTATAGTTGCTGTACTCAATGAGGTAAGTAAAAGCGAGAATACTCACTTCTGTACCGCCTTCTCAGGTTTATGAGACATGTTAATCCTGTTTGGAGGGATAAGTAATATATGTTCCAAAGTATCACAGTTTATGCAACGAAGTGCTGGGGGCCAAACGCAAGATCCAATCGTTTGTTGAAAATATCAAATGTGGGAAGGAATCGACTAAGTTTGGGAGGGCTTTCCAGGGTTGGGAAACCCGAGGAGAAAAATAATTCCGCCTGCATTTCAGGTGGCTATACTGTGCACACAATTTCAGGGGGTTACCTCTGAGATTGGTGTTGTGGCTGAGTTTCAGCAAGTGTTGGCATCCGTGATTAGAGTCAAACAATATTTGGTAGACTAATCTGAGATCGCCGTGCAACCTCCATGAGTGACCACTGAAAACTCGCAGTGATTTCAGCCTTTGATGATAGGACAGATTTCCTATGCCTTGGACGTTCTTTGTGGCTTGGCATTGTGGTTTTTCTACCATTTCTACGTCGTGCTTCAACCAGGGTTGTCAAGCTTGAATAGCGTATTCAACATGAGGATGAAAGTAAGAATTGTGCATCATGGGGAAGATGGATGGGTCGAATGTTCCGAATGCTCACCGCAGTAAGCCGATCTGCTGGTTGACACTCCTCTCAATTGCCTCTGACTGCTATGAACAGTTTGGGTCACTTTGAATGAGCACACAAATGTCGCGTTCTTGGGAGGTTGTTTGCAATACGTGTGACCCAAGTCTATACACTTACTTATGCCTATGGGGCAATTGAAATTTGTTGCGTTTTTTGACATTGCACAGTAGTGCATCCAAAACTGACCAGTTTGAAATCGTGTTGAGGTCACGAAGGAGCTTTTCGTGGTCGTTCGCTTCTCTGATCTCCATAGACCTGAATTTGATGGAGCAGAATTCGGTGATGTAAGCTATCAAACGATTTTGAGAAGTCCAGGTGAATGACATCGACTCCCGCTCCATCATCAATTGCTTTGGTCCAGCTATTGCGTACAATTAGCATGTTCGTAGTGCATGAGCGCTTTTGTCGGAAGCTATGTTGCGCTGATGCTATGATGTTGTGATTTTCCAGACACTGCATGAGTGCATCAGCGATGATAGACTCCATAATCTTGAAAAGCACAGGGCGTAGTGTTATCGGAAGTAGTTGGTTGGGTCAGTACGACTACCTCCCTTATGAATATGAGTGAGGATCACTCGCTTCCATATTGCTGCAATATGGTGCTTCTGCATACAGCACTGATCGAATATAGCCGGAGGTTCCGCCAGACCATTGGCTGCTGCCTGTAAAGGATTCAGTCGAATGTTATTGACATCAGGAGAGCTGTGGATACGCAGGGACAACAGTTTCTTTGACACACTCTGCAGTAAAAGTAATAATGTATAAAGCTGATGGTTGGACAATAGGAGCAAGGATAACCGTTGGGCCTGTTACTCTCTGGAACGTTTGCGATTAATGGAACCGTAAGAGATCGGCTGCTTCCATTGCTGATCGCGTGTACCTGTCAGTCTTGATCAGTACAGGGATTCCGCTTTGCACCTTATGAAGACCGTTAACATGCCTGTAGAAGTGTTTGCGGTTGTTGCATAATTGCTTTATTAACTCATGCTGATGCATTAACCTGTCCTCTCGGATCAAGCTTACACAGGAGTTATGCTGTGCCACATAAGCAGTCCAGGTTTCGGAAATCGGGGATTCCTTGTGAGCACTCTATTCCAAGTCCCTCAAGAACATGCATTTGCGTGTTCTGCTCCTCAGAGATGACCTCCTTCTCTTTTGACGATGGAAGAATTTCTGCTCAGACTCGTGTGTTACGATTGTGCCATATGTCCTTGTGAAAGTCTTACAGTCGATCTCTGGAGGGCATTCAGTTAAGAATGTCTGAGGTACCTCCTTAGCAAGCCTGGATATCACGTTGTAGTGCGTGACCGTATGCACTTTATCATCCACTTCCTCAGGATATTCCGCATAACATACATAGTTAAACAGTCACTGCGACCAAGTGGTGTGGTTGTAATTATACCGCCGACCATGAGTTCTTCGTTGGTGAGCACAAAATCAATGTCGACGACTTTTTATCACTTCGAAATCTGGTGGGAGAGGTCACGTGGTTGTACGGAGGGTAGCTGGAAATTACCTCTTGTAAAATGGATTATAACTGCATGCTATCGGTCATTGCTGTTTCCAGATCGTGCACATTAACCTCACCTGTGATGAGAATGTGACCGTATGACTCGCTTTAAGCAATCTGAAGATCGTGATTCAGTATGGTGTCTGTCTCACACGTAAAGTTTGGTGGACGGTAAATCACAGCAATAAGATTTATGTCTTTGCTCCGTAACCATTGCTGGCACCAAAGCGCATCTGGGGCACGGATCTCTGGATGTTCACTGAGTTCACATTGGAGGTTAGCCTTGTAATTTTTCAGGGACAGCCCTCACTGCAGCCTCTTCTCCGCTGCATGTTAGAAATCGAAACGAATTTGTATCTAGCTTAATGGAGAGTTTTTGAATCCTTGCTTAGTTTCGGCTTAAAATATCGACTTAATACACAGCACTTGTTGATGAATTATGCAGTGCAGCGATATTTTATTGCACATCTTTGGATGTAAACTCATTTATCTTGCTTTCGAATGCTCCGCTTGTGATGTCTTTTTCTCGTGTATACTCCAGTGCATTCTAAATTTATCTGCGTTAGAAATTCCGGGCAGTTTTTCGCCCATATCCAAGCGCCAAAGTTTGCTTTACTCCAACCATCGGAGACATTGTTTGGTCTCAGTCGATAGACCATTTCAACGGCTTTCGAACGAACTGTCACTCGTTCAAATCCAACATTGCTTTGAGCAACTACAGGTCTCAAGCCCAATTTACCCGGCGTGATCCATACGCTTAACCACGAAAATTCCCGATCACACCCTCGTGGATTCTCCCCCACATTCAAGCTGACACACTCGACAGGCACGCCAGAGAGGATAGTCTGCGAGCACACAACTGCAACGTGCACACTCTGACCTTTCCGACAACGTCAGTAACGGAACAACTTTTTACCATAAAGGGTGTCATTCAAATGGTTCGTAACATTTTCTCAATAAGCGCGATGCCCAGTGTACCACAGTCTACCGACCTATGTGGATCATGTTCTAAACTTGTTAAGGGAGGCATTTTGTGCCGTAACGGTTGCAAGTTTTTCCATGCGAGATGCCTCCGAGTTATAGCTAGTCAGACCAAGTTATTAAACAAACCAGACACTCTATGGTTCTGCTTGGAATGCGCATCTATCCCACTGATAAAAAGCATGCTCCTATTATATCAGAAGTACGACCAGTTACTAACCAAGTTTGTGGAAATGGCGACCATCAAAATCACTACGGTTGGGCTAAGAATAGTGGACTGTGCAACCCACTTCTCCCCCGTAACTGCTGCTCCTATCCCGACAAGAACTGCTAGTAACACCGTAAGCAACAAGACACCTAGAGTCCAAAACATCAACTGCTGTTCCAATACCACACGTGGCTCACATTTGACTAATGCGGTTCCCAGTTTGATCGGAGTAACTACACGTAAGGCTACTTCCAAACTCCCGACGGAGTGCATAGAAAAAGAGCAAGTCGGTACCAGCGAAAGTTGGGTTACGGTTGCTTCCAAGAAGAGCCGTTATATAAAATTAACATCACCCCCAACTGGATCGGAAACTGAGGAGCGCAGCGAAGTTTTCCTATTGCAAGCACCACCGGTTTCCTGCGGTACATCTACGAGGATTTCAATCACTAACCATGACATGCCGAAAGGTGTAAAGAAACAACTAACTGTACTGAATGTACTGTGCCCCACTATCCCAGAATCAAAGTCGACAACAATAAGAGGGAGGCAGTTGGATGACCACACAACCAGTAGGATATTATTAGTAATCTAATCGTAGTTTTACTGAAACCTGTACACCTAGTGCGTATTGCGCGACACCCCAAATCTAAGCATTTCGGAGAGCCAAGAGTTCTGCGTGTTGTGCTGAACTCCATCACTGAAGTAGAATCAGTATTACTCTCGACTGGTTGTCTCAGAAATGAACACTGCTTTATCTGTATCTTTCCAGACATCCCATGAGGCGAGAGTTATCGAGTAAACCGCACCATAGATGACTACCGAAATGAAATTTCAACCAGAACCATACTTCTTCACGGGGTTCCGGAAGCTGAAGCATGTGATGAGCATGAAATAACAACCCATGATAAAGAACAGTGGTGTTATATTCGTGTAACACTCTGCTTGGATGATGTGTTAGCGAAATCCGTGTCACGTCTGCGTACCTCACCGAACTACAAAGGAAGTGGCCCGAGAGTGTTGAAGGTGGTCCTTCAGTCAAAACATATGGTAGCACGGATGTTAAAATGCTGGTACATGTTCCGTTGCAGG